GTAAGGATGCCGTCTTTTATTTTTCCAAACCAAACCGCAGCAAGGACAAAACCGTCTGCCTTGCTTGGTTCCCAGTTGCTCCGCGCTTTCGGGGCTGGCGTGGAGCTCGTCGTGTGCCTTGTACCATTTGTTGTCCGCGTGTGTGATCGTGCACAGGTGGGTTGACTTGGAAACCTGGTGGCTGCCTCTGTGGGGATTCAGTAATTGCTTGCGAGTTGTCAAGGGAAGCAGTTTCATCTGCCACTGCTCTCACTGCGAGGAGCACTTTATGCCTAGAGAGTTTCTGGCTTTAAACCCAGAGATATGTCATAAAATGCTTTTTGCTAATTTGTTAACAAGTATTTCATTTTTGCATTATTTTTTTTTTATCTCAGATGATGGTTGAAGTTGAGACTTGGGTGGTGTTACTGTTGTAATTGTTGCCCAGTGTTAGAATGAATTTAATCTGCTCTCAATTAGTTGCAAAATGTCTCCTAATTTTTTTCCAATTGTGGCTGTCGTTTTATGTCAAGTAGCAAATATGTAACTAACAAACCAAAGTTGTTATAATTGAAACTAATTACACATGCTGGTTACATGTTCCAACATTAATTTTCATAACTAGATTAGCCGTATGCATTCTTTACATTTGCTGCTCTTTGTCTTGCGACTTATCATATTCCTTGGGCAGCGTTGCATCCTTTTAAGATACCAATCATTAGCCCTAATGGTGCTAATGTGCATTTGGCATTGCTTTAGTTGAAGCAACAAAAACACCACCACCCTCCTCGCCCCACACTCACCCAAATCGCTGGCTTCCAGTGATGTGCAGGAGAGGAGGATTTCTTTCTTCCCAACAATGGGTAGCAGCGAAAGGCCCAGTGTGTGATTGACTGCAGATTTTGAAACTGGTACCCAAATCGAATAAATATTAGGCGTGCACATATGACACCGGTTTTGTGAAGCAGAGGCTTGGATGGTTTTGAAGAGGGGTTAAATTTCAGCAGCTTTCATTACAAAGTTATCTTTTGATCATGAACTTTGCTGTCCAGTGTCTGAAAAATTAAACCCGGAAAACTCCATGAGTTAAGCCTAAAGAAATATGCGCCACCAGTGGAGAGCAATGCTAATGTTTAACTAGCTGGAATAGCTGTTTGCTTAGTGGAGAATGTTCGGTATCTGACAGAAGGGACAGCTCTCTTATTAGTAATCAAATAGGGCTGACCAGTTGTGGCCGTCACTCAGGCAGTTGAGAACAAGTTCAACACTTTATAGAACTCGAACTACAAAAATCAATATAATTATGTTCGTCTTCAGTGTGGCTATGGAAATCTTACGGCCTTGGATTGTTGTCTTGTAACTGAATTTATTTTATTTTTTTGGATTGGCTAGAAGTGTTTGAGCTCTTGGAATCTCGTCTGAGCATAAGATGCTTGAAAAGGCGGTGCGTGTTTGCTTTTCATGAAGGATCGGGAAAGTGTTTCATCTTTTGAGTGATATTTATGCATTTTTAAAGAGGACTTGTTTTTAAATCATGAGATTTTTAACAGGGCACAGTAGTGAAGTTTCCATGTTGATTTGGCTTACGTTTTGGATGCTGTGTTTTCCCCTCGCAATCACTTTGGATTTGTGCAGCATTCAGTCCTTTATTGACTACTGATACTGAATAACTTTTAATATTCAGCTTTTATCACAGGATGGGAACTAGGTGATATCCTCCAGATAGGCAGAATTATACTTCTTGTCTGAGTGAATGCACTCTTCTATTTGGTTAATTAAAATATGTGCTAAGGTTACTCATAGTTCTATAACCTAAGAGAAGTGTGTGATCATTTTATATTCCAGAAGCATAAGAGGAGGGGAAAAATGTAAAAACATTTGGTTAATGGGTTTACCATGTTTATTTGAATAAGGAGGATTGAAGCTCCATTTACGCCTGGCATAAATGCTTTGGAGGTCTTAATTATTGATGAAAAATCTGCTCTGCTTCTAAATTCAAAGATATGACAATTTTATAGAAATTTTAATCACCTTCCATGTTAGAGACTTTAAGGTAAGGCTAGTTTTATGAAATGACATACGATGTATATTTTTAGCATTCTTAAGAGAGCTGTCACTTACAATGGTAAAACACTATTAGCATTTTGTTGCTTGCTGTAAATCCCTGTGAAATTATTGCAGTATTGGCACTATCTCCAGCTCAAGGCATTATTTCTAGGTGAAAAAAATGAAGAAGTTGGTGTTCACTAGGGCAAGTTATGTTAATCAGGGAGAGAAAAATACCTATAGGAAGAGAACCTCTTTAGAAGGTTTTTGCAGTCGAGATGTGTTTCAGTTTCATAATGATACTCATTTCTGTGGGGTGTGTGTTGCCTTTGAAAATTAGTTGCTTGTGTTAAATTTTTAGCCCGTGTTTTCTCTTGAGTATTGCAGAATAAAATGTCCCATCAGATTGGTGAGTCAGTTCACAGGTCCCCATCAGCAGTGTCGTCACTTGGTTAGTTGGCTTAAAAAAGAATTATATACAACATGCTTCGCCGGCTGCTTGTGGCCTTTGGATACATTTAGCAGGTTCTGACCAGATAAGGCATATTTGTCCTGAGGATATAAACCAATAATTCCAACCTGAATTGAGATCAATGGGCCCACATTTGTTCTAACCCACACAGAGGCTCTTCCGGCACGTTGAGACTGCTTCTCTGTGTTACGAGAGCAGAGGGGTAAGCTCCTTGCTCCGGCAGGGTAATCACATTCTATAGACTCTGACGCCTTCAATCAATTAATTACACAATTTAGTTTAGTTATCTTTCAGAAGCATTAAATACTTATGAACGGCACGGAAGATCCTTCGGAGTAAAAAAGAAGGGAAAAGCGAAGATGTTTCACATTACAAAACCCTTCTAATTTATTACGAAGGTTTCACTTGTGTTAACTGTTTTCTTCCTCATAAAACATTGCCAGGGAAACAATATCTTTATAGCTCCGTGGATGTAACGATACTGCAGTGTATTTAAAATAACATAACAACTTATGGAGTAAAGGAGAAACATAACATTGTAAAGTAAGAAGCACAGTCGATAAAGAGATACTATAGGAAAAAGTATTTATGGTAAACCGTAGCAACCTGCAGAGAGCCGAATCCAAGTAAAGGAAAAGGCAGTGCGTACACACACACACACACACACACACACACACACACACACACACACACACCCCTCCCACATGTATGTATATATGTGTGCGTGCATACGCACATATATGCATGCTTTTGTATGGGACTGCTGAAAAGGATGGGAGTATCATTTTCCTCTGGAATAATGTTTTCTGGGAAAACACAAAAGCAGATGGTCTCCATTAGGAACACCCATTGTCCACATATCCCAGCTATGAACAGATAAATCTCTCCTGTTTCACCCGTACATTCCAAGGGCTGCAAATGATTACAGGATGTCGGTGTAGCTGCTAAACCAAAACCACACGTTGGCTCACATCACTCGCTCGTGCCATCCCGGTCTGTTTCCTTGGGAGTTCTGGAAATACCCCGGAAGGTGCATCCTCCTCTCGTTCCCCTTCTCGCTCGGCCTGGATGGACCGAAGGTGCGGGTCCAACTGGCGAAGTGAGCAGGCCGACCGTGGACCGCGGGGGAGCAGGGGCTGTGGCTGCCCGAGCAGGCCGGGCACACGCGGTGGGCTCCACGCGGCGCCCAGAGCAGGCTCGGGGGGCGGTTCCAGATGGCACCGTCTCCGGCGTCCTGCTCGCTGGCATCTCTGCGGCAGGCAGTGCCCCCTCCCCGATCAATCTGGCATGAGTCTGTAGAGTTTGAGAGACTTATCATTCCAAGTCTGTCCTACTTTCCTGTCTGGAAGCCAGACATCTGTTTATCCCATTTTCTTTCATAACAGAGTTTGGAATTGCTTTAGTTTTGGGAAGGGGGAGGTGAAGTTTTGTCATATTTAACAGCTGTTACAAAATTTCAACCTTGTGGGCTCTGAAAATACTTTTCAGCTGACCTCACATTTTTATCCATAATTGACGTTGGGATGTAGAGAAATATTATTTGCTTAACCTTCCATTGTCTGTGATTTCACATTGTCTTTAGTCTGATGACCTAACTACCAACCATTTTAACTCTGCATTCCCCCCACCACCCACACCCTTCACAACCTTGCTTTGATTCATTTGTGCGTTTTAAGTTTACACCTTTAAAGTGATTGCACAACGGTAGCCCAAGACTGATTGGAGATTTTCTTTCTTCTCTCTCTCTTCTTTCTCTCTCTCTCTCTCTCTTTTTTTTTTTGTCAACAGTGTTTCCTTTCACTTCCTGTCACAAAGGTCAAAGAGAGCCGACCTTTGCTGGCAGTCCTACTCACTGAATTATTCATGGGATTGACTTTTTGTCAGCACACACAGTTGTGCTTTGGGACATTTTATTCATTTACCTCATTTAAAGCGCCTTTCTGCACCTGTTCAAGTATTAATATCATGTAATTTGGGCCTAATGCCGATTTTGCTGAACACTCATTATATTTTTTATTAGCTATATTTCCAAACGATTATGTATGATTATTACCAAGCCTTACAAACAGCACCGGGTTATTCCCTAGCCCTTTACATCTTCTTGTCAGGTTGTTTTCAGAAGCGGGGAGGATAAACATTTGACCAGTCCCAATGTTTTTATTCCTACTCCATCTCCAAGCAGAGAACTTAAAGCTTCCTCCCTCATGGCTTTGCACGAGCGTGATTAAATCCAACTCCGCTGAAGCTGTACAAATGCCAGCATTTATAAGGTCAACGCTTTTGTTAAAAATGCTATGTAAATGAGGATCTGCAAAAAGGGACATTAAATAAAATTAAATTCATTGTCTTCTTTAATGTCATTTACATTTTGGCTAAGCCCCGGCCTGTCAAGGAGGATTTTAAGAATAATTTTAATTACACATCATTTAGGGATCCAAGGTTTTCTATGCAGTAGCATTTGGATAACCTGCAAAACGGAGACTGTTTATTAACTTCTTAAATG